CCAAATCAACATGAGCCAGCAGAAATCCTGCACCTCTCAGCCACATTTCTTTAGGTGGCTGAAATGGGATTCCCAAGTACCAAATATTGTTTTATAAAAGTGAAGATGTGATTCTTTGGCTCATACACATACACCCACTAGAAAGCAAATGCATGTGGACACGTGGTCGGCGTAATGTCACCTGGGAGGAAAGCTCCCCTCAGACTCAATGAGGGGCTGTGAAGCTCTGTTGACTCTCCTTGTGGGACAAAGCGACCTGGAGAGGCGCTGACCATGGACCAGGGCACAGGCCTCTAGGCTCTCACCTGCTGTGGGGCCTGGAGGACATCCTGGGCAGCCACTGTGGAGGCAATGGCCCTCAGTCCCCCTTTGAGGCTACAGGGAGAGGGACAAGTCAGCTACCAGCTGCACGCCCAGCTCCATGATGGTGACACGGTCATCCAGGATGATCACTGTCTCCTCAGCCAGGATGGAGTCAGAGAGAGGTGAGAGCACCATCCCTGACCTCTACCCACCAGATGGCAGTAGCAGCACCGTCTGCCTGGGGACAACCATAATATGGCCAGATATTGTCAAGTGTCCCCCAGAGCTGCTAACCACCCTCCCACGGGGAGAAATCAGATTGCTCTCCTATGATTGTGTGTGATGCTGGAATTTGAACCTGGTGGGCAAGGGCTCTGCCACTGAACCACACCCTTGTCTATAGTTGAAGTTTGAGCTTAATGTCTGCTGGTTAAAATAAGAAAATCCATGCCAATAATTAAAAGTTGTTCTGTGTTTCCTTCATTAAAAAGTGTATGAATAATGAAGATGGATGATTCTTGTGTATTGTTTTTATTATTTTATTTCACACAAAAGCATGCACAGATGCGTACTTAGATGGACCCTTACAAATGGTGGGTATGATTTGGAGGAGTGTCCATTAGTTTATAGCTACACAGTGGTAGTTCCTGGGTCCCAAACAACCAGGGCCCTACCCTCCTTTCCTTGGGTGATTCTTGGTTTCAGGAACTCCATTGCAAGGTCAGTGATGTCAGCCAGACCACAACTCCTTTTTTGGGAAGGAGAATTACATGCCACTGGTTTTTAGTCTGTGTGGCTGTCCACAGCAAAATGATCCATGCAGGCTCCCATTTCCCATCCCATGTGTCCCCGGCCACCCAGCAGGTCCTGGGCATGCCCACCCCCATACCATGTGTCCTCTGCCACCCCAGCAGGTCCTGGGCATGCCCAACCCTCTCCTGTGTGTTCCCGGCCACCCAGCAGGTCCTGGGTGTTCCCACCCCCATCCCATGTGTCATCGATCACCCAACAGGTCCTTGGCATGCTTGCTGTGTGCTGCTTCTCACTCAGACCCAAGAGGCACATGCACTGCCTCCTGTCTTCAACCTGCTTTCACTCCAGGGGCAGCTACAGGACCAGGACTTGAGTCAAGGGTTTCCAGACTGTGCTGCTGAGACGCTGGGGAGTTTGTGAACATCCCCTTGCCAATATACCAGTCCACAGCAATTAAACCCAGAATCCCGGGGTTGGAGCCAGTCACTGATGTTTGGAGGAGCATTTGACACTTCCAATGTGCACTCCTAGCAGGGTTTGGGCACCTGTGTCCTCACGTTCCTCCCTGTGACATGGGGAGGTTCCTGCCCCTCACAGGCCATTGCAGCCCTGAGGGAAACAGCCCATCAGTGCACTTGTTGTGATGCCACACACTGGAGTGCTCAGTAGAACTGAAGTGTCCTTGTTAATGGTGCTGGCAGAACTCTTAGAACTCCACAGAGAAAGGGGGGCTCACCCAACCTTAGGAAAGCAGAGCCGCCTCCCAGAGCAGGGTAAGCACCAGGAGGAGCCCGACGGGCAGGGCAGTTCCCAGGCACTACCTCACTGGAGCCTCACCAAGCCAGGGGTCCAGGCTCCCCACCCAGAAATGGGGCCCTCTGGTGGGTGTTCAGCAAGTGAGGGGTTAATCAGATTGGTATTTAGTAAAGTTCATTCTTGAGCCAATATAGTTTTGTGGTTGAAAGATGGACGGAGGAGAAGGTGACTAGATAGAAGAATCCTTGGGGCAGCTCCATGCCAGGGCCTGTGTGTGGCTGTGGGCTAGTGAGAAAGGTCCCCAACTGGAAGTCCACAGACCAGAGGACCTCGGAGCAGGGCCTCGGAGCAGAGCTTCCACACTTGTGCATGAGCCCCACTCGCATATTCCTCTGCCCCCTCCCTACCTGGGGCCATGTGTGAGCCCTCCCCTGTGCTCCCTGCCCCCCATTTGGGCCATTTGTTTGGCAGCTGTGAGGTGACAGGCTGCCTCTGTGTGTGATGTGGTCTTGTCTTGAAGCTGGTTGGTTTCCCTGCACTTTCAACTAACTTGCTGAGGCATCTAAACCAACTGGGAGTTACCCAGAGCAGGAGTGTCGTTTCTCAATGAAAGCAGCATTTCCAGGGGCTTAGGGAGGTTTAGGGAAAGAGAAACAAAAGTCTCAGAAGAAGATTCCTCCATTTTTGGCAAGTTAACATGCATTCATTGAGCTTTCCTCACTCAAAACCCCCAGGGAAAGAAGGTTTTGGAAAAAGTAGCCATCGGGGGCTTCTGTCTGTATTTTGGGAGTCAGGAGCAGTGAGGGACACCAGATGACAACAGGCCTTGCACAGGTTTGGAAGTGCCAGGAACCCTGGACAAGCATCTGTCCTTCCTTGTGGGATGGTGTCTGAGAGGCAGGAGATTACAGGTCATGACAAGGACAATGGGCAGTGGCAGCTGAGACAGAAGCCTGCACTCTGACCCTCACTGGCTTTGTAAGTCAGGTTGTTGGAAGGCGTCCACACCCACGCCTCTGCATCTTCCTAGTTTTCTTGGGTCTCTGGCTCCTCAGGTCTCTGGCCAGCAACAACCTCAACTGCTGCCTCTCCTGCCCTCTACCCAATGTTGTGCCAGCATAAGCCCTGGCGCCTCATTGCCTGGCCCGCATGTCTCACCATGCCTGAGTCAACAACTGATGCCTTGAAATCTCTACCCAGGAGCAGGATTACAGCAGAACCACCTGGCGGGATTCTCAGAATTAATTAATAGAACTGCTGCTTGGAACAGTTTCTGGTGAGCTGGGAGTCATGGAAAGCCTTAGCCACCATGGTTGGTGCATATGCATCCCGGGATGCCCCATCTCTGGCCTCCCCAGAGACATGGGGGTCACCCAGCACTCAACCCCACTAGTGGGACACTGCTCTTCTACCTCCTTAAGGCTGAGCAGCTGCCAAGAGAGAGACAAGCAGCATTAGCAGCCAGCTCTGTCTTCTCCAATCACACTGAGGACTTAACTGGCTGTTAGACTTCCCAGGACATAAACACTCTCCTCTCTAATCCACTTTCTGTTTACACAACAGGATAGGCACTTTACCCCTCCATTCCAGCTTTGCTTTTTCTGCCTCAAAAATCAGACATCCAGCCCCAGGCAGTTTCGGGTTTTCTCATTAGGACCCCATGCTGGGGAATTCATTGCCTCAAAAACTCTTGATTTCTGAGCTGATAACTATTTCTAAAGTCAAAGCAAATCAACTACAGCAGCAAAATCACTTATTTATGATGGTCTTTGGGAAGGCTTTCTTCTTTTCTTCTCCTTCTGTGTTTTTCCTCAGGAAATTTATTCTCTTTCTTTATAGACTGCAATAAGCTGCTAAGAGCTATCACTAAAGGAGATTTCTGTTATTGTAATTTGCTCTGTGGCAATGCCCCACCAAGGAGCTCCCAGCTCTAATCCGGGCCACTGAATGTCTCCATCAAGCATTTGGCTGAAGGCAGCACATGAGCTCAGCTGCTGAAGCAGCAACTGGGAAAGCTGGCCTGCAGCTGACCACATCCCAGCACCTGGCAGGGAATGGGCCACCCCCACCCCCTCACACCCAGGACACCACATCTGCAACCTGTCAGCAGAATTGCAGGCTTTCAAATGAAATCTCCTCTTAATATATGAGCAGTTCATCAGGGATATTGCTCTGGAATTTTCTTTCCTTGATGCATCTCTGCCTGGTTTTGGTATCAGGATGCCTCTAGAAATTTTTTGGTGTCTTTGAGGTTTTCTAATTTATTGGAATATGAATTTTCAAAATAGTTTCTAATTGTCTCCTGTATTTCAATAATGTCTGCCATGATGTTTCCTTTTTCAATGCAAATTTTAGTAATTTGAGTTTTCTCCCTCCTTCTTTTCATTGGAGTGGCTAAGGGTTTGTCAATTTTATTTATTTTTTCAAAGAACCAGCTTTTGTTGTGTCATTTTTTGAATTGTTTCTTTAGTTTCAATTTTATTAATTTTCATCCTGGTTTTAATTATCTCCTGTCTTCTACTATTTTGGTGTTGGTTTGTTTTTCTTTTTCTAGGGCTTTGAGCTGTAATGTCAGGTTGTTTATTTGTTGACTTTTTCTTCTTTTAAGAATGAACTCCATGCAATGAACTTTCCTCTTAGCACTGCCTTCATAGTGTCCCAGAGATTTTGATAACTTGTATCGGAGTCCTCATTTACCTCTAGAACATTGACACAAAAATTCTCAATAAAATTCTGGCAAATTGCAAAAAAATATATTTTAAAAAATAGTGCTCCATGATCAAGTGAGGTTCATTCCAGGGATGCAAGATTGGTTCAATATATGGAAATCAATAAATATAATTCATCACATCAATAGACTTAAAGATAAGAATCATATATTATATAAAATGATGCAGAGAAAGCATTTGACAAAATACAGCACCCTTTCATGTTCAAAACACTAGAAAAACTAGGTATAGTTTTTCTATAAATACTATAAAAGTTATTTATGCAAAACACAATACTATAAAAGTTATTTATGCAAAACCCGAGACCAACATCATTCTAAATGGAGAAAAATTGGAAACATCCCCTCTAAAAACTGGAACAAGACAGGAATGCCCTTTTTCACCACTTCTATTCAACATAGTCTTTGAAACTCTAGTCAGAACAATTAGAGAAAACAAATTAAAGGGATACTGTGGGAAGCCATCCTGACACGTGACTGGGCGACTCCCGTTAAGGGTCTGAGGCTTCTGGCTGTGTCGGAATTTTCCCGGCCCTTTCCTGATGAGAGAGCCCGTCCGTGTGGGGGTGTGACTGACCACTGACCCCGGGGGCCCAATCACTGACCCTGACCTTGGAGTGCAGTCCCCCCTCAACCTTCATTGGATGGAATTATCCCCTGAATTTCTTGTTCCCCAATAAAAGGCTACTCCCTGGCGTGTTCACTCTCTCTCTCTCCTGCTAGCCCTGAGTAATCCTTGCTGCCCTGCTGGGCGGTTAGAGGTTGGAGCCAGAGAGGGGAGCCGTCTCGGACCTGGCAATAGAAATAAGGTAACTGTGTCTGTGTGTCTTATTTCGATCTCTTCTAACTAACTTTATTCCCAGAACCTCATTAATGAAACCATTGCGCAGGACGCGTGGTAGAATTGGCGCCCACGAGGGGGGCATTCTAGATTAGTTAGATTGAGTGGGAGCGCGCTATAAAGATAAGGATAAAGATAAAGATAAAGGAAGAGGTGACAATTTGGGTCACAAAAGTACCTGGAGCTATTGAAGGAAAGAGACGTTAAATTAATTAAAATGGGAAATTCAACTTCTACGGATAAGGAAATGTATCTGACTATTTTAGACAGTATAATTAATCAGAAAGGAAAACAGATAAAGAAAGCTCAGTTATTACAATTCTTAAAGATTGTAGGTGAATATTGTCCTTGGTTTTGTGAACAAGAATCTCCAAATTTATCTACTTGGGAGAAATTAGGAAGAAAGTTACAAAAGGTTTATTTTTCTAATGAACTACCTGGAGGCATAGAAAGTATTCAGAAAACTTGGACAGCTCTAGAAATTTGTCTTTTTGAATATATGGGTCAAAGTTCGTGGCCCCCTGAAGACCTGTTAAAAGGCTTGCAAAGGGCTATTAAGTCTATTCAAATGGAAAATTCGCCTGAGGCTAAGTTAATTCCTTTTCCCTTAGGCCGTTTAAAAACAAAGACAACGCTAAAAGCCAAACCTAAGGTTAGGAATGTGACTTTAAACTCGCAGGACTATACTAGCCCGCAGGGAGATTCTAGGGATGGAGATCATAGAGGACAAACCTCTGAGATCTTAGAAAGCCCTCCAGAAGAGGTAGAGGATCTTCCCACAGAGGAAAATCCGGAAGAGATTCCTGGAGGGGCTCAGAGTTCTTCTCCGCCACGTGGTTTAGAAACCCAAATTCAAAATGACGATAGTACAGAGTCTGACCATGATTTGCAATCTGAGGGAGAAGAATCAGACATGGAAATTCAGGACTTACAGAGGAATCTTAACAGGCTGCGTTTAACACCGCCTGTCCAGGCTATTCGAATTCGGCAGGTACCTGCTAAAAGGACAAAAATTAACAGGTACCCTGGGTTAACAATGACTTTTCTTACCCCGTTCCAGCGAGGTATTAAGAAAGCACAGGAAGATGGGGAGGATACTAGCGGTTTTCAACTTTTTCCAGTTTTTGAGCAAGTTAATGAACAAGATCAGAGAGTTAGAGTTCATGCTGTAATCCCATTTAAAACCATTAAGGAACTAAAAAGTGCATGTGAGACATATGGTCCAAATTCGCCTTTTGTACAGAGCTTGATAGAAAATATTTGCTCACAACCCCTTCCTCCTAGCGACTGGATTTCTTTAGCCAGATCTTGTCTGAGCGGGGGAGATTTCTTACTTTGGAGGACTTACTGGACTGATTTCTGTACTGAACAGGCAGAAAAGAACAAAAGACAGGATATAGAAACGCCAGTAGAAATGTTTCTAGGGACAGGTGAATTTACTGACCTAGAAAGACAGTTAAATTATGATTTTGTAGTGTACAATCAAATAACTGATTGTGCCAAACGTGCCTGGAGGCAGATTGTCTCCAAGGACCAGTCCAATTTAGTTCTTACCAAAATCAGGCAAGGTGCGAGTGAACCTTACTCAGATTTCGTAGCCCGGTTGTACCAGGCTGCAAACAGGTCAATCGGGGACTCGGGAGCGAGTGAGTTCATTGTTAGGCAATTGGCATTCGAAAACGCAAATAAATACTGTCAGGATATTCTTAGACCACACCGTAAAAAAGGGACAGTTTCTGAGTTTATTCGCTTATGTTCTGACATAGACTCTACTCATTTATAAACAGTGGCCCTAGCTGCAGCAATAAAAGAAACCTTGAAAACCCCAGATTTAGTACGAAAACCCCGCGGAAAATGTTACATTTGCGGGAGAAATAATCATTTTGCGCGGGATTGTCGCCTGCGCAATTCTAAGTTCAGGGCTCCATCTACTGGCGATAATAGATATTGCAGGACTCAACCCCACGTGGCGAGTCAAAATGGCGCGGATCAGCCCGCCTTCTCGCCGTCATTTCCTCCTAGCGGGAGGACAAAAAACTTCCGGTCGGCCCCTCCCCGGGCCGAGCAACAATACGGGGAATTCGAGGAGAGGTCGCACAGTGTGACGTCACTGGCGCCGACCAGGACAGCCTGCGATTTTTATCGGAACATAGATCGCAGACAGTTTTCTTAGGACCTTCAAGGACAGTTGAATTAAATCCTGAGACAGGGCCAAAACAAATCCCTACTGGAATTTTCGGGCCGCTTCCAGATAATACTATAGGTTTAATTTTGGGACGCAATAACTTAAAAGGAGCCATTGAGGTGATACCCGGTGTGATAGATTCAAATTTTAAAGGACAGTTAAATGTTACTGTAAAGTCCAACTATGCCCTAAGGCTTACTCCAAAGGATACATTTGCCCAATTGATTTTATTGCCTTGTGACTCAGGGAGGCACGCACCAGTAGATTCAGTTTCTAGACCACCGGACAGAGTATACTGGTCGCAGCTAGTAAGACAAGAACGCCCCTTATTAGAGCTTAAAATTAATAATAAAAAGTTCCTCGGAATAGTAGACACAGGAGCTGATATATCTGTTTTTTCTAGTAGGTTCTGGCCTAGGAGCTGGCATTTACATGTAGCACCAGCTAACCTAGAGGGAATAGGACAGGTTTCACAGCCTGCTCAAAGTGCCAACTATCTCCGTTGGGAAGATTCCGATGGGAACAGTGGAGTATTTAAGCCTTATGTGTTAGGGTCCTTACCAGCTAACCTATGGGGAAGAGATATTTTAGCCAAGATGGGATTATTATTAGTTACTCCAAACTCGATAAGGTCAATTGAGGGAGTTAATCAGAGGTATTTTCCTGGAGATGATAAGGAGACCCTTCAGGAAGAGTATCTGCTTACAGACCAGTCTCCACGACAAAGATTAGTAAATGCTCCAAGCCAAAATTTTTACTAGGGGCCCTGAGTACTTCCCCGATCCCTAAGACAGCCGAAAAAATCACCTGGCTCACAGAGGAGCCTATATGGATTTCTCAGTGGCCCATCTCAGGGGAAAAGCTTAAAATAATTCATAGGTTAGTTGAGGAACAACTTCAGGCCGGTCATATTGAACCAACGCTTAGTCCTTGGAACACACCTATTTTTGTTATTAAAAAAAAGTCAGGTAATTGGAGATTGCTACAGGACTTAAGGGCGATAAATCATGCAATTCGACCTATGGGATCATTACAGCCAGGACTTCCCTCCCCCACAGGCATCCCTTTAGACTATAGCTTGATGGTAATTGATTTAAAAGACTGTTTTTTCTCTATAAGGTTACATCCTGGAGATTGTGAGAGATTTGCCTTCACTGTCCCAGCAATTAATTTTAAGAAACCTGTTAAAAGATATTGCTGGAAAGTACTCCCCCAGGGAATGCGTAATAGTCCTACCCTGTGCCAAAAATATGTAGATCAGGCGATAGATCCCATAAGAAATACCTTTCCTGATGCGTATATTATTCATTTTATGGATGATATATTATTGGCTCATGCTAATCCAGAGGTACTTTCAGAAATTTTTATTCAGTTAGAGACTTCACTTACAGCAATGGGTTTATACATAGCCCCTCAAAAAATTCAAAAGGTGCCTCCTTTTCAATATCTAGGTCAGATAATTCAAGGACGTACAATCCGTCCTCAAAATCTTCAGATAAGAGTAAGGGAGTTACATACCCTTAATGATTTTCAAAGGCTTTTAGGAGATATAAATTGGCTGAGGCCATCCCTAAAACTAACTACTTCTAATTTAAGTCCCCTATTTCAGATATTACAAGGAAATCCCTCTCCAACCTCTCCACGTCAGCTAACCTTAGAGGCTAGAATGGCTTTAAGGAGAGTTGAACATGCAATTAAAAATGCACAGCTTACTAGAGTTGATCCTAAAGAAATAGTGTATTTATTAATATTTCCAACTGAACATACCCCAACAGGAGCCATATGGCAAAGATTAGGAGTTATTGAGTGGATTTATTTATCCCACTCTCCTCAGAAGACATTAATTCCTTTTCATGATTCTATAGCTCAATTAGTAATTAAAGGTAGAACTAGGATTTTACAATTAATTGGATCTGAGCCTGATATCATAATTATTCCATTTTCTATTCAACAGACTAATTGGCTTTTTCAAACTTCTAGCTCATGGCAGATAGCTTTTGCTGATTTTCCTGGCCAGATAGATAGCCATTATCCTCGTGATAAGATTATACAATTTGCATCATTAACGTCACTTATTTTTCCAAAGATTGTACGTGCACATCCTATAGATGAAGCTTTATCAGTGTTCACGGATGGTTCTAACTCAGGTAAAGCAGGTTTTTATAGTCGTGTTCACACAGAGGTAATACAAACTTCTTATACTTCTGCCCAAAGAGCAGAGCTTCAAGCTCTGATTTGTGCCTTAAATTACTTTTCAAATGAGCCTATTAATATTTATTCTGACAGCTTATATGCAGTCGGAGTTACTAAAAATATTGAAACTTCAGTTATTGGGTATACTTCATCACAAGAGTTATTTGAGTTATTTCATAATTTACAAAAGACAGTGCTAATGCGAAAGTACCCATGTTTCATAGGGCACATACGGGCTCATACTAATCTTCCAGGACCCTTAGTTTCTGGTAATGACAAGATTGATAAATTAGTAGCTTTTTGTCAACAGATGTCTTCATATGACTGTGCACTAGCTTCCCATTCCTTGCATCATCAAAATGCTTCTAGCTTACGTAAAAAATTTAATATTACTAGAGAACAAGCTCGTCAGATTGTAAGCCAATGCCCTAAGTGTGTTATTCACACTCCATCTCTGCCATCAGGGGTAAATCCCCGTGGATTAAAACCAAATCAAATATGGCAAATGGATGTAACTCATATTCCTCAATTTGGTAAGCAATGTTATGTGCATGTCATAGTGGACACTTATTCTAGATTTATTTTTGCCACAGCACGTACTAAGGAAAATACTCAACATGTAATTTCTCATTGCTTAGCAGCCTTTTCTGTTTTAGGGTGCCCTATGCAGATTAAAACAGATAATGCTCCAGCTTATGTAAGCTCTTCTTTTCAACAATTTTGCCAAGAGTTTAAAATTAATCATAAAACAGGAATTCCTTATAACCCTCAAGGCCAAGCCATTGTGGAACGAGCTCATTTATCTATTAAGCTTCAATTACAAAAATTAAAGGGGGGGAATAGGTTTATGACTCCCCAAAATAGCCTTAATCATGCCTTGTTCGTTTTAAATTTTTTAAACTGTGACGCAGAAGGTCACACTGCTGCTGAGAGACAAATGTCTCCCTCAGTAACAGGCCCTTTAGGCAGAATTTTGTGGAAAGATTTACAGACTGGTCAGTGGAAGGGTCCAGACCCAGTGATAATGTGGGGTAGAGGTCATGCTTGTATTTTCCCAGAAGGCGCATTTCGTCCTATTTGGGTACCTGAACGTGCTATCAGACATGGAAGAGATGGAACCCAGATTCAAGCGACTGAGGATTGACCAGGAGGAGCCCCTATCCAGAAGGAGGAGATATCGGAAAAGGATGAAGAAAGACCAGATTGACCCAGCCGAAAAGCTGATTTCATGGGAAGACTTGAAGAAGCTAACAACCCAGGCTTCCCGAATACTTCGACACCTAGGAGAGAACAGGACCCCAGTGATGATGGTAGCAACAGTAATTGCCCTGTTGGGCTGTCAGGTAAAGGGGGATCAAGTAGACACTTACTGGACATATTTCCCAGATCCACCCCTGGTACACCCAGCTGTGTGGACTGGAGAATCTATTCCAGTATTTACTAATGACTCATTCATGATGGGAGGATTTACAGATACCCATATTACTCCCAATCATGTGACTAGATTTAATTATTCTGGCTACAGTGCCCAATTACCTTTGTGTTGGTCACACGATAAACATGCTGGCTGTCTGAAAGTATCATTCGAAGAAAAGACAGCGATTGGTAGACCTAGACTGACAAATAATTCTTTTTATGGGGACTTAAGACCTTATACTAGATCAGTAATTAAGATGGGACTTTCCCATAACAAGCCAGTCATTTCTGCAAAACCTCCACGGATGCCCCACTGTCCAAATAGTTCTACAATTGAGATTGGCACCTTTCCTAGATGGATGGATTGTGTAAATACCTTTCCTGTACAACATAAGGTGTCTAAAGATAGTGGGTATATTTTAGACTGGTCTCCAAAAATTGATAAAAGACAATTACGAAGAAATTCTGCTATGACACCTGCAGGATTTGTTAGTAATATTTTGACTTATAGTAAAGGAGGTGTTCAGAAAGATGTTTGGCGTTTAATTGCTGCCTCAGAATTCTTACATTTTACAGAAAAACCTTTACCAAAATTTGTTGGCAAGAACTGTAAAGAGGGATCTTGCTATGGCTTACGAGCCTGTGTCCAATCTCCTTATGTTTTAATTATTGGAAATGTAAAAGTTAAATGGATAGATGACAGATATATTGTTACTTGTAATAAATGCAACCTAACCAATTGTATTACTAGGTATAATGGAGGAAAAGGAGTGCTGATACTTCATCAGCCCTCTTTTGTTTTATTACCTGCTAATATTTCAGAGCCATGGTATGCTGATACTGGTTTACAAGTCTTGCAGCAAATTCATGACCAGTTAGCAAGACCAAAACGTGCTATTGGAGTTATAATTGTTGGTGTTTTGGCACTAGTCTCCTTTATTGCCTCAACTGTCTCTGCATCTCTGACATTGTCTCAAAATATTCAGCATGCGAAATTTCTTAATAATTTAGCTCAAAATACTTCCAAGGCTCTGCGTAATCAAGTAAATATTGATGAAAGGATTGAGACTAAATTAAACGCCTTAGAGGCGACTGTTATAGACATAGGTAATGAACTTTCAGCCTTAAAATTTAAGGAAAGGCTTAAATGCCATGCCAATTATAAGTATGTTTGTGTTACAGCTGCCAAGTACAATGCTTCTCTCTGGGATTGGGAGAAGGTTAAAAACCATTTATTAGGTATTTGGCAAAATAGTAATAATAGCTTGGATATTCTGGAACTTCATCACCATATCCAAGACATTCAAAATAATAGAGCTGATTTTTCTGATCCTTCTTCTCTGGCAAACCAAATATTGAAGGAGTTAAATGGATTCAACCCTGGAAATATTCTTAAACACTCGGCCTGGTACATTATTGGATTATTCTCTTTGCTGTTAATTCTCTTTTGTGTTATAATTATAGGATGGCGAGTCTTCGGAACAAGAATACAGAAACTCCAAAGAGTGAACCGCCGCCTCATTTTTAAGAATAGAAAGGGGGAATATGTGGGAAGCCATCCTGACATGTGACTGGGCGACTCCCGTTAAGGGTCTGAGGCTTCTGGCTGTGTCGGAATTTTCCCGGCCCTTTCCTGATGAGAGAGCCCATCCGTGTGGGGGTGTGACTGACCACTGACCCCGGGGGCCCAATCACTGACCCTGACCTTGGAGTGCAGTCCCCCCTCAACCTTCATTGGATGGAATTATCCCCTGAATTTCTTGTTCCCCAATAAAAGGCTACTCCCTGGCGTGTTCACTCTCTCTCTCTCCTGCTAGCCCTGAGTAATCCTTGCTGCCCTGCTGGGCGGTTAGAGGTTGGAGCCAGAGAGGGGAGCCGTCTCGGACCTGGCAATAGAAATAAGGTAACTGTGTCTGTGTGTCTTATTTCGATCTCTTCTAACTAACTTTATGCCTAGAACCTCATTAATGAAACCATTGCGCAGGACGCGTGGTAGAGGATACAAATAGGAAAAGAAGAACTCAAATTATCACTATTTGCTGACAACATGATTCTGTATTTAGAAGATCCAAAAAACTTCACCAGTAAACTTCTAGAATCAATTAATGAATTCAGCAAAGTAGCAGGATATAAAATCAATACCCATAAATCAAATGCTTTTTTACACATCAGTGATGAATCCTCTGAAAGAGAAATTAGAAAAACTACCCCATTCACAATACTCTCAAAAATAAAGTAAAATAATTGTGAATTAACAAAAGAGGTGAAAGAACTCTACAATGAAAACTACAGAACACTAAAGAAAGAAATTGAAGAAGACCTTAGATGATGGAAAGATCTCACATGCTCTTGGATAGGCAAAATTAATATCCTCAAAATGGCCATACTACCCAAAGCACTATACAGATTCAATGCAATCCCAATTAAAATACCAATGACACTTCTTATAAAAATAGAAAAATTAAATCATTTGGAAAATCAAGAGACCCAGAATAACCAAAGCAACCCTTAGCAAGAAGAGTGAAGCAGAAGATCTCAGTACCAGACCTTAAAGTATACTATAGTAACAAAAATGGCACGGTATTCACACCAAAATAGACATGGTACAGAATAGAAGACCCGAAGACAAACCAACATTAATACAGTTATCTCATACTAGACAAAGTTGTCAAAAACATACAGTGGAAAAAAGATAGCCTCTTCAACAAATGGTGCTAGGAGAACTGGAAATCCATATGCCACAAAATGAAAATAAATCCCTATCTCTCACCATGTACAAAACACAACTCAAAGTGGATCAAGGACCTAGGAATTAGAGCAGAGACCCTATGCCTAATAGAGAAAAACTTAGGCCCAAATATTCATCATGTTGGATTAGGTCCCGATTTCCTTAACAAGACTCCTAAAGTGCAAGAAATAAAATCAAGAATTAATAAAAGGATGGACTCAAATGAAAAACCTTCTTGTCAGCAAAAGAAAAAATCAATGAGGTAAAGAGACAGCCTCCATTTGGGGAGGAAATTTTTGCCAAACACATATCAGAAAGAACACTAATCTCCAGAATATATAAAGAACTCAAAAAACTTACTTAACACCAACAAAACAAACAACCAAACCAATAAATGAGCCAGGGAGCTGAACAGACATTTCTCAGAAGAAGATATATATTCAATAAACAAATATATGAAAAAAAATGTTCAGCATCTCAGGTAATTAGAGAAATGCAAATCAAAACTACTCTAATATTTCATCTGGTGTGAGTTATCAATAATGTTAGTTATCAAGAATAATGACAGTTATCAAGAATACGGACAACAATAAATGTTGGTGAGGATGTGGTGGAAAAGGCACAATCATATATTGCTGGTGGGGCTGTAAATTGGTGCAACCAATTTGGAAAGCAGCATGGAGATTCCTTAGAAAACTGGGAAGGGAACCACCATTTGACCCAGCTATCTCACTCCTTGGTCTAGACCCAAAGGACTTAAAATCAGCATACTACAGTAACACAGCTACATCAATGTTCATAACAGTTCAATTCACAATAGCTAAACTGTGGAAGCAACCTAGATGCCTCTCAATAGATGAATGGATAAAGAAACTGTGGTGTATATACAATAATATAATAATAATGTATAATAATAATGTAATATAATACATTAATATATATATTAATGTATTATATATTAAATTAATATAATAATGTAATATTACTCCATATTAAAAGAGAATAAAATCATGGCATTTGCAGGTAAATGGATGGAGTTGGAGAATATCATGCTAAGTGAAATAAGCCCATCCCCAAAAACCAAAGGCTGAATGTTCTCTCTGATAAGTGGATGCTGATCCATAATGAGGAGGGAGAAGGCATAGGAAAAATGGAGGAACTGTGATTGGGCAAAGGGAAGGGAGGGTGGGTAGGGTGCATGGGGGCAGGAAAGATGGTGGAATGGGATGGACACCATTACCCTAGGTACATGTATGACTGCATGTATGGTGTGATGCTACATTGTGTACAACTACTGAAATGAAAAGTTGTGCTACAATTGTGTACAATGAATCAAAATGCATTATGCTATAATATATACCTAGTTAAAATAAATTAATTAATTTGAAAAAAATACGAGCCATTAATTTTCTTTTTTAGAAAAAAAATGCTCAGGCAAAATTGAACATACGTAGGACGACTGTGTCATCACAGTTACAGGCCCCAACACAAAGGCATACACTCTAGGATTTTTCATAATAACCAATATTTTATTGAGATAGCCTAGTCACCTCCTACCTTCTTGTCAGAGATGGATTTAGGGAAGAGGATAGGATAGGATTCAGTCCTCTGATGCAGGATACTTCTGGAACATACTTCTTGCTATGAAAAGAGATGCCATAGTAGGTTTCCCCTGGGGCACTGGAACATGTTACATCACAGAGGATCCCTGCTACAGCCTGAGGGGCAACCTGACCATGGCAGGACACAGTGACAGGAGAAGTGTAAGAACCTGGGCCGTGGGTACAATGGGATCACAGACTTATCCAACGCTTGGGGTGTTTCATGTTAGCTGAAACAGTAAGATTTTTATATTTTGTTAAGGCCATTTGAGTCAGGGTGTTCTGTTATCTAATTAATCCTCACAATAATCCTACAAGGTAAAGTGAGCTTGTACTTCTGATTCACAGAGACAAATGAGTCTCATCTAGGTCAAGGTGGCCAAGGGTGCACAGTGAGGAAGGGATACAGCCAGGATCTGAATGTGTACCATCTGGATGCAAAAGCAGAGCTCCTCTTTATTCCTTTAATTTTTTAATTGACAAAGAAACACTGTATGTATTTGTGGTGCACAACATAATGTTTTGAAATTTGCACACATTGAGGAATGGCTATGTGAAGTAAATTGTGTATTTTCTCACATACTTATTTTTTTGTGTGTGCTAATAAGATTTGAAATATACTCTTTCAGCAATTCTCAGTAACAAAATATTGTTATTAAGGATAGTCCTCATGATGGATCAAAAAAAATCCCATAAACTAACTTGTTCTTCTTGTCTAAAGGAAACTTTGTGTCCTCTGACCACCATCTCCCCACCTTTCCCTCCCAGCCTCTGCTAACTGCAGTTCTACTCTCTGCTGTATCAATTGGTTATGGTTTGACTCTTTCATGCTCCCTGGAAAGCTGCTGTGTTGTGAGTGTGCTCCCCAGTGCACCGAGGTTTGGAGGAGGGGCTTTAAGGCAATGATTGGGTTATGAGAGCTGTAACCCCTTTGGTGGATTAGTTCATTCTGTGGATTAATAATTTGAATGGACTTCTCTGGTAGCCCTGGGCGGGTGGGGTGTGACTGGAGGAAGTAGGTCTCTGGGGACATGGCCAGGACTACATCTGTCCCTGGCTCCTTCCTACTGCTCTCTGCTTCATCACTGCCATGAGCTGAGCAGATTTCCTTTACCAGATCCTTCTGCCATGATGCTCTTCCTCAACTAAGATCCTCTTGTCAGGTATTCTGGCCACAATGATAAAAAATCAATTATTACACCAACTTTTTGAGATTCCACATACAAGTAACTCCACACAGCAATCATATTTCTGTGGCTAGCTTATTTTACTTAATATCTTCCAGGTTCATCTACATTGTCAAAAAAGACAGAATTTCCATCTTTTTGAGACTGAATAGCATTCCACATGTATATATGTAAAGTGTGTGGGTGTGATATTTGCTTTATCTGTTCATCAACTGATGAGTACTTAGATTGGTTCCATATGTTAACTAATGTAAATGTTATAATCAACATGGGAAATACAAAATATCTCTTTGACATAATGATTTCATTTCTAAAAGGGCAATAGCATGATCACATGGTAAGCCTAATTTTACTCTTTTGAAGAACCCCGTATGTTTCCATTACAGCTGTGCTAATTTACAGTCCCACAGAGGGTACCAGGGGTCCCTTCCCTCCACATCCTTGATGACCACCATGCTAACAGGTGTGAAGTGAGAGCTCATTGAGTTCTAATACACATTTCTCTAATGATCAATGATGTTGATTTATTTTTGTATACCTATGGGTCAATTGTGTGTCTCATTTGAAAAGAAAAAAAAAAACATATTCTAGTCCTTTGTCCAATTTTAGTTGGGTTATTTGTTTTCTCACTATCCAGTTATCTGAGTTCCTAAACTGAAATAAATTAATAAAGTCCAAAGTGCTTTCAGAGTAGATTTTCTGTTGCCAGAGAAGTATCTTCCAAAAAGTTAATACTTATAAACATTTGAGAGCATCCTTGGAATAAGACTCAGTACAAAGTTCTGCATGCTGATTTGTCTTCATTGAAGCATTTTCTCTCTCCACTTGAGAGATTTGAGAAACACCACCAATGCTTGCAAGGTAAGGATAGGATCCCAGGCTCATGTGCATCACACCATCCCCAGGACAGAGTGTCTCCCTGCTGAGACCCTGCTCGTGGTGCTGCTGGTGTCCTACAGAGTTGTGACCAGGGGAGCAGTTCTTCAGTGTAGGTGCCATGGGTACAGGTGCTGGGGCAACAAGCTTAGGTGCTCAGGGTGGGAACATAAGTTAGTCATGTAAAAGGCAAAGCTTTTGGCAGGTGAAGAGGTTTTCTAGGGGGGAAATAGACGAGGGGGCTTGCAGAGTTTTGCAAATTTCTATTAAAGTTTCTTAGGACAGTTTCATTACTAAAACAAATGCAGTTGCAAAAATAAGAAAACTATGTATTATGGCTCAGAGTATAAAGCTCCAAACACTGTCAGGGTAGGAAGTAATGACAAACAGTGGCCTCAAAGCACCTTCCACGCACACAAAGTGCAAAAGAGGGACTTAAAAAGACTCCACCTGACAAGACCTGTCTGATGCAGAATAAGTTCTCTGTTGCCAAGAGAAGGCAGGACACCC